GTGAATTAAAAAATAATGAATTACCAGGATCGACTGTTTGTAAATGTGCATGAGATTAATGAGCAAAGGCTTCTCCATAACACGGAAGGTATGAAATCAATCCTGTGCTCCGAGAATAATGAGGGAATCAATAGGATTACGAGGTTAAGGCTGGAGTAAACCTGAATGACAGCTGCAAAATAAATTTTATTTGGAGGACGTGGCTGGGGTTAAATGAAACGTAATAAATAATGTAAAGCATTTAAGGGGTGGGGAAATGGTCCAGAGATGTAAGGAAGAACAGAAGGCCCCACAGTCGCTAAATCTGTCCAGTTTATATCCACGGCGTGTTTTTGCGGGCGTGTGATGAGTGTGACATACACCATGCCTGCGGCTGGGCTAGTGGCACTGCGAGGTTGTGCCCTCTCCCCTCACTGTCCGTGACAGGGACAGCAGCGGTGCCACCAGGACCTCGGCCTGCAGCAGCGGCACCGAAATGGGACAGCAATGGGCACGTGTGAGCGGTGTAACGCAGCCTGGGATGCGTTTGGGGTGCATCGTGTATGAGCTGCAGGTTTGCGCCTCCCTTTCTCCCTGTGCTTCTCTCCTGGTGTCCGATTTAAAAAAGAAAAAAAAATCCGACATTGCCGCCATCCCATTTCCCACTGGCCACAGACCTCCCGGAGACCTGCTGCAGGGCACGGAGACCTCCCGCTGCTGAGCCCACAGCTGCGCTCGGGGCTCATACGTACCCCCACGGAGGCATCCTCTGTGCTTGCGGGGATGTGGACCCTTCTGGCGGCGTGCACCTGGGGCCGCTCCACCTTTGTGCCCGTGGTGGGCACAAAGCGCCCCGCTCTGCGCTCCTCCAGGCACGGGGCGATGGGGAACCGTGAGGCTGCGGCTGGGGGGGTTTGATGTCCTGCTGCCCTCGGCTTTGGGGATAAAAGCTGTGCAGACAGGTGTAAGGCTGGGATTTCAGGGGCTCGGCACCTTCTCCTGTGCGGCTTTGGGGGGACCGTTGTGGAAGAGCTCCGCATCGAGCCCACTGCCTTCTGAGAGCTCAGTGACTTTCAATGCCTTGGTAAAAATTGAGCTGCTCTGAAAAACTGGCCACAGCAGTGGCTGCTAAACCAGTCTGAACCCTGACGCTGTACCGGTTGCACTGATTTTTCTAACATGATTAACTCCTGGTCTTGCTCCTCCCTGCTAGGAGTTCTCAGGGAAGGAGATCTGGAGTTCCTGGGACGTGCTCAGTGCTTTAGAGGCAGAGCCCAGCCCAAAGAGGTGTCAGCTGCTTCTGCCCCCGAGGAAACACATTTCCCACTCCGGGAGGAGAAGCTCCGAGTGGGGATGGGACAGCAGAGATTTTGCTCCTGAATCTCCGTGTAAAAAACCCTTGCGGGGCTCCTTCTGGAGCCAGACCCAAGGGAGCCCGCGGGGCACTGCTTGCCCCAGATGCTTTTCCGTCAGGTTGCACTGCGCCGCAAGGGCTTGTCCTCCCGGAGCGGACAGTGCGTGTGCGGCTCAGCCCTGCTAATAACGGCTGCGTGTGTTTTTCCAGTCATTAAGCATATGACTAATAGAGCTGTCCTGGCTGCATAACACATGCTGACAAGGAGCCTCAGAGGAGGGGAACAGAAATAGAGGGATATGAAGAAAATGGCTTAAATTTATCCCCCGGCCGGTAGATGTGTTTTCCCCGTAGGTGTCACATCCCCACCGTGCTGGGGCGGGACGCTGAGGAGCCGAGTTGCCTTCTGCCGCCCTTCCTGTTGGAGCTGCCTGGTGCCCTGTGTGTCCGTCTGTCCGTCCCAGGCCATTCGATGCAGCACAGTGGCACTCCGTGCCGTGGTCAGCCCCAGTGCGGGGGATGCCGTGGGCTCGTCCCTGTGGGTGATGCCCCTGTGCATCCTGACCCCACCATGCGTTCACTTCGGCTCCGGAGTCACCAGCACAGGCTGTTACTGGCAACGCTGGCTGTCGATAGTTTATCCCACTGCTGCGTGCTGAGAGTGTGCTGAGAAAGGGTTTGTAAACCTCTGCATGCACAGGCAGGTCCCTGCTGCCCACCCGCTGCCTCCCCGCTGCCCGTGCATCACTGTGTGCCCCTGTGCACACATGCCTGGTCCAGGGCAGCCACCTCCCCACCGGGGTCCTGCAGACCCACCTGCCTCCCACATGAGACCTCTCTGCAACAGGATGCAAAAAAATGCCTTTAAGTTTCCTTTTAATAGCTCCTGTAAATCTTGTTTTATGCTAAAGCTAAAGACACATTTATTATTGTCATAAAGGAGGAAGAACCAGTGAGTCCCCGGCTGGCCCCAGACCAGGTGACTCGGGAAGAGCAGAGGCAGCAGATCGAGGGCCACGGTTATCCCTCACCATTTGGCACATTTGGGAACACATCAATGCCACCAGGTGAAAACCTCCGGCTGCTCGTGGGGCGCAGTCTCCCATGCCCGGGATGGGCTCAAGGGGCCCTGGGTGCAGCACGTGGAGCTGTGGGTCAGGGCTCAGGGACCAGGCTGGGGATACACGTGTCTAAGCACCCGGGCGCTGGTTTTGTTCCAGCACCTTCTGTGCCATAGAGGAAGCCATGCAGGATGGTTTTTTTTTTTAATGTTTTTATTTAATATTTTTAAACCATTGCACAGGCAAGCTCTATCCCAAATTCCAGCCCAGAGGTCAGTGGAGAATTGGCCCTGCACCTGCAACCTGAAACCAGCTTTGCCTGGTGAGCCTCATGCTGCGCCGCTAATTGAAGGGTTCGGGGGGTTGTTTTTCTTTTCTATTTTATTTTGAGACACTGTTTTGAAGAGCATGGCCAAGAATGGGAATTTCATACGGTAAACAGAAAAGCTGTTCTGAAGTTATTTATTGGTTCTGTTTTCCAGCACGTGGACTAGTATTGATTTATTTTGCAGTGTCTCTAGAGGCTTCTTCAAGGTTAAAATGTAGACATCGCATGTTAGGCTGGACTAAATACTGGCAGGAAAATGCATTTGGCTCTTTTAATTGGAAAAACATACTCTTTTTATCACCCTGAGGCCAAAACTCTACCACAGCAGCACAGCGCAGCACACAGAGAGCAGCGTATGTATACAAGCGCAAGATGCTCTGGTTCACGCCTGCTCGGGGGATTCGGTGGGAGCACAGAGGCCCCCACAACTGCAGCCCGCTCTGGGGTCCTGCTGGGCCCCAAGAGCAATTCCCCGGGGGATAATGGGGGCCAGCAGCTGTCCCAGGTGGGGAGGCTGGGTGTGAGCATCCTGCT